GCAGTTTGACCTCCTAAACATACACAGAGCACTCCACCCAACAACTCAAGAGGAGACGATGCCTACTACTGTTCCCAATTAGACACCTTTGACCTACTTTCTATTCAGTCCTTGGTGAACCAAGGCAAGTACTATAGACTACTGGGATTTTAGATCCTGTTTTGTTGAGGCACATACCATTCTTCTTAGACCAGAAGGACTAGATGGAAACCCCACTAAGTGAACAGGGCTCTACTGCAAACTCACCTGTAGCCCTTGGACATGAAGCCAAAACTTCATAGTGAGAAGAAGCAGATGGCTGCTATACCAAGGGTATAGAACTGGGGGTTGTCAGACTTTCCCTTGGATCTCTTGCCTTGGTGTCTAATAGATAGTGACCCAGGACTACCATGCACTTAATATTTTAATGCCCTCCTTGGTTTATTAAAATATGCATTAATCTGGTAGGCCTGGTTTTGGCGCTGTCAATGAATACTATTGAAAGTGTTACCTTATTGCCAAGTCTCATTGTTTGTGTAAATAGTGTCCAGTCACTTAAGATTTTAATCTGTACAAACCAGGTTATATTTGTATAATCTTATTTTCTTTTTCTTTTTTAAAAATCACTTTATTGGGAGCTCGTACAACTCTTATCACAATCCATACATACATCCATTGTGTCAAACACATTTGTACATCTGTTGCCATCATCATTCTCAAAACATTTGCTTTCTACTTGAGTCCTGGGTATCAGCTCCTCATTTATACCCTCCCTCCCCGCTCCTCCTCCCTCATGAACCCTTGATAATTTATAAGTTATTATTATTTTGTCATATCTTACACTGTCCGACGTCTGCCTTCACCCACTTTTTGGTTGCCCATCCCCCAGGGAGGAGGTTACATGTAGATCCTTGTAATTGGTTCTCCCTTTCCACCCCACCCTCTCTGTACCCTCCTGGTATCATCAATTTCACCACTGGTCCTGAAGATATCATCTGTCCTGGATTACCTGTGTTTCCAGTTGCTATCTGTACCAGTGTACATCTTCTTGTCTAGCCAGATTTGTAAGGTAGAATTGGGATCATGATAGTGGGGTGGGGGAGGAAGTATTTAGGAACGAGAAGAAAGTTGTATGTTTCATCATTGCTATACTGCACCCTGACTGGCTCATCTCCTCCCCACAGCCCTTCTGTAAGGGGATGTCCAATTGCCTACAGTTGGGTCTTGGGTCCCCAGTCTGCACTCTCTTTCATTCACAATGATTTTAATTTTTGTTCTTTGATGCCTGATAACTGATCCCTTCGACACTTTGTGATCACATAGGCTGGTGTGCTTCTTCCATGTGGGCTTTGTTGCTTCTCATCTAGATGGCCGCTTGTTTGCCTTCAAGCCTTTAAGACCCCAGACACTATATCTTTTGATACCCGGGCACCATCAGCTTTCTTCACCACATTTGCTTATGCACCTGCTTTGTCTTCAGCAATCACATCGGGAAGGTGAGCCCACAATGATATGATTTTTTGTTCTTTGATGCCTGATAACTGATCCCTTTGGCACCTCGTGTTCACTCAGGCTGGCATGCTTCTTTCATGTGGGTTTTGTTGCTTCTAAGTTAGATGGCCACTTGTTTACCTTCAAGTCTTTAAGACCCTAGACGCTATATCTTTTGATAGCCAGGCACCATCAGCTTTCTTCACCACATTTGCTTATGCACCTGCTTTGTCTTCAGCAATCACATCGGGAAGGTGAGCATCATAGAATGCCAGTTTAATAAAACAAAGTATTCTTGCATTGAGGCAGTACTTGAGTGGAGGCCCCATGTCCATCTGCTACCTTAATACTAAACCTATAAATATATGCACATAGATGTATTTCCCCATCCTCATAAATATATTTACATATGCACATGCCTTTATTTAAACCTCTATAAATGCCCTTTGCCTCCTAGTTCTTTCCTCTATTTCCTTTTACTTTCATTTTGTCCCATTATCATGCTCAGTCTTCATTTGGGTTTCAGTAATTCCTTTCAGTTACATTACCCTTGACCAAGCCCTACCAGGCCTATAATCTTATTTTCTTAACTGTGTTTTAAATTCTGTACTATTGGCTAAATCAATGACATAATCAATAGAGTTAACTTATTCCCCAGGGAGATGATTGATAATGTTCTCTAACATAAAATGACAATGATGTCTCTAAGTGAACCAGAGACATATATGAACCATGGACATATGAATGGATATTGGGCTTGCAATTAATTCTAGCCCCAATCTAAGAACAATTAGTTCTTATGGCATTGGCCCTGCTTGATACTCACTTTCACGAATTGATCATTGAATATTTGAGTGCCATAGTAAAGTGTGATGAAGAAACTTGATGGTGCCCAGCTATCAGAAAGATTAGCATCTATGGTTTTAGCGGTTTGTCTTAAAAAAGCAGCCATCTAAGTGAGGCATCAAATAAGTCTACATCGAAAAAGCACACCAGCCTGTGTGATCCAAGGATGGGAAATAATATACCCCAAATTTGAAGGAAGAATCATATCAGAGCTTTAATTGTGACCACCTGGTTTGCAGATAGCTATGGATAAAAGTAGCAGTCCAAAAGCCTTTTGCATAATCCACACATAGATTAAGCCTCTGGTGAATCTCCTCTGACCATAGTGGAGGGGTATAAATCGCCTTGCTGTCAGATAGAGAGTATGATAGAGGTGATTACAGTAGATAGAGTCATTAAAATGTAACATCTATTTGGTCCCTCTTGACTCATTTAAAGTTATATCAATTTTTTTAAGTAAAGGGAAATACATGTGGATTAAGCCTCCTGTGAATTCCATTTAACCATAGATCAGGGATGTAAACAGCCTTGCTATCATCAGAGTACACTGGAAAGTGGCGTATGGCAGATGTAATTAGATTAAACTTTAACACCTTATCATTTGACTACCCTTTGGACCTATTTTAAAGTTGTTCTAGATTTTAATGTTTTCTGCTTTCTTTTTCTAATTAAGGTTTCCCCCCTCTATTTTGTGGTTAGATATCTTTTGTTGTTTCTTTGTTTTTGCATGTTTTTCAGAATATGAAATTTAGGGTGGGTGAATCTATAGACAGTAAGTGGATTGATGGAGAATTAGTCGTTAAATCCAGCTGGGTTGGCCACTAATGTCCTCCCCAGTGATCTTTTCAAAATACTACACTACTACATGCCCATTGCTGATTTTTTTGGCTGGAAAGGAACAAGAAGTCTTGGCAAGAGAAATAACCACTCTCTCACCTGTGTGCGTGCGGATGTGTCTCTTCAGGTCAAAGGTGTCGTTGAAGCCCTTGCCACAGAAGGTGCACAGGTGCCGTTTCACCTGGTTGTGGCACTTGAGGTGCCGGTTGAGCATGCGTTGAAGGCGAAAGCACTTTCCACAAAGGTCACAGCTGTGAACCACCGAGTCATCGCATAAGCCTGTTGTATACTGGGAGAAAAAGAGAGAAGCTGTGAGGAGCCAGGACCTGCTGGAGAGGAACCACGACCACTCAAGGCCCACTCCAGGAGCCTACATCCCTGTGCCTCTAGGGTGGCCAGACTATGGTTTCTAAAAATGACAAGGAGCTTGCGGCTTTGAGAAAGGTGAAATAAAAACGGACAGTTCCTTTCAATCACCATTCTTCTCTTATTCCTAATGAAAGACTTCTGATATTTAGTTGAGTACATTACATGTAGCTAAATAATGATTTTTCTAGTCTTATAGCAATGAATGGCCATGTGACCCTACCTCTAAGGGGAAGTCCACAGCTGCTTGTCAGTTTGTCACATTGTGATAGCTTGCCATGTTGCTATGATGCTGGAAGCTATGGCACTGGTATTTTAAATATCAGTATGGTTACCCATGATAGAGAAGTTGCAGTGGAGCTTCCAGAGTAAGAGAGGGTAGGAAGAAAGGTCTGGCAACCCACTTCCAAAAATTAGCCAGCAAAAATCCTATGGATGACAACAGATTATTGTGCAATACAGTGCTAGAATGATGAGTCTCCTAGGCTGGAAAATACTCAAAGTATACATTGGCCACAACAATGGGTTCAGACATCATCATCATCATGAACGTTGTACAGGACCAGACAATGCTTCATTCTATAATACATAACTCAGGAATTAGAGCCAACTCAATAACAACTAACAAATTTGCCAAAGGTGGAGGGGTGGGGGTGGGGGTGGGGGTGGTCTCCATGCCTTCCCTCTCCCTTCCTTTCTTCTGGCTAGCAAGACCCCTAACAGACATCTTGACCATGAGGTGAAACCAGTGTTGAGGAAAAATGAACCAAAAAAACCCCAGGGGGTTAGGGCCCTGATGACTTCATGAAACCATGTCACAAGAAATTCTTCCGTATACCTTGTTTGTTGCCCATCCATCAAGAGATTGCGACCACTTCCTCTTCCCCTTGTTTTTGTGACTGCTTGAACCAAAACAATGCAGCAATGGCTTGTTATTCCCAGGTTGAAGCCTTGCAGTTTCCACTTCCGCCTCTTGGAGCCAGCTCCCAAGTAAGAAGTCCAAGGAACCCAAGCGAGCCAAGGAGAAGGAGGAACACCGAGAGGCCTCGCTGGACCTTTCACCCTGGCCCCGTGTTGCCACAGCTGGGAGAGTTGGTATTGTCGTGGTTGGATGCTGTCAAGTCAGCTCAGACGCATAGCAAAGATGGGTGTAACAGCATGAAACACTTCCCGGTCCTGCTCCCAGCCAGTGCCACCAAGATCAGAACTGTGGCCTAGCTGAGCCACATTGCAATTCCTTATCCAAAAATCCCGAACAAAGGGCATGGTTGTCCTTTGGGGAACTGCCTTGGTTAGGAACACAGTTTCATTATCAGCATAGCCACGACCAAACCCTGATCTCTGGACTCTGAGCCCAGTGATCTCTCAACTACATTTTCTACTGCCAAGGAAGAAAACTGAAACCAACTATGCGATGAATATAATACCATATCTGAAATATGCAAAGGTTTTCTAATTATAAAATCAAATCCTTCAAAAGGAAATTGATCCAATTCCTTGGTCAAGATTCTATTCACACTCTCTTTCCCGCTTCTCCTCTGCCTTCCACTCGGGGCCTCTCTCTCTCTCTCTCTCTCTCTGCAGTTCCATGTTCAGTTAACTGTGAAACCTGAAACTTCCTCTATCCTTTATAAAAACCCTCTTGGATCACACACCTACACAAAAATTTCTATTCATCAAAAAGGCCTAAAAATTATTTTCATAAAAACATCACTAGCTGAGACAACTATAAATTATTATTCCTATTATGAACTAAGTATCTCTAATAAAAGTAATATATTGTTCTTTTAAAAGCAGTTCCCAACTTTGTGATGTACTCTTTGGATGTCAGTTATACATACTTAGCAATAAAGCTGGTAAATTATTTTAATCTTAAATTAGGAATAAAAACTGTAAGTCCACTCCAATAAATATTAAACATAATTTACTTATTATTTACTAATGGAAAGCTTATAAATTGGACACAGGCTATTTATAGACAGACAGAAACATACTTCTCATTTTCAAGCTCAGATTTCAGATCTTTAACCTGTTCTGAATAATGCTGTTCACTTGTCACAATGGCCTTTAATTGTATTTTCAAATCATGAACTTCTTTCTGCAAAATAAACATGTATTGAAAATTAAACATGTATAACCAAAAAAAAAAAAATCATCACTAGCATAAAGAGTTGGTACTTTTGTGGAACTTTCTCCCAGCCTGTGATACCTTTCTCCACAATGGTCCTGACTCTCCTCTAAGACCCACGTCCATTATTCTTTGTACCCTCCAAATGCAACCTGATCCGTGACAGAAGTCCCTGGGTGTATAAATGGTTAGCATTGTCACTGGCTAGCTAAAAGGTTGGGGGTTCAGAAACACCTAGAGGTACCTCAGAAGAAAGGCTTGCTGGTTTTGTTTTGTTTTTAATTCCTTGAAAACCCCGTGGATCACAGTTTACTCTGCCACTAATGGGGTTGCTATGAGCTGGAATTGACCCAGCAGCTCCTGGTTGCTAAGTGCCGGGCCCTATGTGCATAGTAGCTGCAGTAGGATAGTACCCAGGGATGGCTTGTCCCCAAGATTCTGCCACAGTCTACCGGAGGAGCAGACATGTTAATGCACCACAGACCTCCAAGAATTCCAGTCTGCAATAGAGTCACCTCAAGGGGTAGCTATCCTAAACATGAAATGCTAAGAAAAACATTTTCAGAGAAAGTGAATTCCTCAGTCAGATAAGGGAGGGAGGGAAAATGACCAGTGATCAAGGGGGAAGTATGCTGGTTTTGTCTTACTAATTGAGCCTGAGGGAAGGCAGAGAAAGGAGGAAGTTAATGAGAAAAGCAGGCCGGGTTGATTAGAGAAACAAATCCAGACACTCATATACTGTATGTGTAAAAAAGAGCTTTCTATCAAGAAGTAGTTATATATCGAGAAAACATCCCAGCCCAGTCCAACTCAAGTCCATAAGTTTGATACTATCCCATAAGTCCCTCTTCAGATTCATGGAGCCACAGGCAATGATGCAGAATGCAGGAACATCACCGGATGGTGGGTGCCAAGTCCTCTGGATCCAACAGCGGTGGATGCATCTCCAGGACTGTCAGTAACCAGGATCTGCCAGCAGGAAGGTGAAGGGAGAGAAGGGAAGAGGGGAGTTCCCAGGGCCCTCCTTATGAGAAGGCCATGTTCACAAGGAGTCTCCATCAGGCTGTAACTCATGGACAGGCTAAACTCCACCCCTACACTTTTCTTCAACTTGACTTGAAATTATGAAAATATCACAGGGTCTATCTTGGTGACCCCAATAATCGATTAAAAGGATGAGAAATTGCTAAATGAAAGTAAAGGAGGATAGCCCCAGGAGTTGAGTATGACAACCTCTGGCTGACTCACATTCTAAAGTTGTAGCATTCCTGCGCTGGCTCCCCTAAAGTGCTATGGCTGGCCGTATAGCCTGAGGAGAATCCCGCTGTACCCAGGGTTCTTCCTGCCACAGTGCACTCCCAGTGTCCTCTCTGTCTGGAAGTCCCCTTTCTGGATCATCTCCTTCCTTGAAGGACATGCAAAGACCAAATACGGCCCATGTCTTGGCAAACTGAGTAGTCGGAGCTTCCCAAGGCCAAAAGTCAGTGAGAGGTTGTTTGATCCCTAGAGGTCTCTGGTTCCAGAAAACCCCATGCACATTGGAACCAGACCATTGTGATCCACAGCATTTTCACTGGCTGATTTGTTTGGATGGATTGTCAGGCTTTCTTTCCTGATTCATCTTAGTCTAGTGGTGGTGGTGGGCTTACAAGTTCTCTCTAAAAATAAGATTCATTTCCATCACATTATGTCAATAATAGCAAGCAGGAGAAATCAACATGACCCTTGTACATCCAGATGCTGAACACAACCCTTAAATCAGTTAAATTCAATACTCTCTTCTTTAAGCTATCCCGTTTGTATGCAGTATGGCCTTCTGCCCCTGGTAGGATCAAACTGGGGCCGGCCTTCTGGAAGCAATTTTGACCTCGCAGCAAGGGCTGAGGAAAGCTCAAGAGGCATTTCCCTCCTCTCAGCTTCAATTTGACATCCATTATGTTCATTTTCACCATTTCAGGTAGGAATAACCAAAAGTGGCTCTGAGAATCAGAAGTTTCACTGCCCCTTTCAGACAATAACTAAGTGCACCACGTGGCCACATCGGGGGCCCCAGGGAGAAGGAAAGTCCAATTCCACCCACTTACCACGAGGCAGAGGTCAGATAAGCCTCCACTCTCCATCTTCATGATTTGTTTTCTCTAGTAGCCCACTCCCCTGGCACCATAATGTGTTAGGCCAGGTTGTCTAGAGAGACAAATCCAGGACTACTCAGATGTGTCCAGGAAAGAGCCTTCTATCAAAAAGTAATGTTAGGTCAAGAATCATTCCAGCCTAGTCCAACTCAAGACCGAAAGTCTGGTACAAGTCAAGGCCCTCTTCAGCCACATGTCATGGCAGGCTGATAATGCAGAAAGGTGAAGCAAGATGCAGGGCGGTCCCAAGATGGTGGGTGCAGTCTCATGTACCCAAGGTTGTTGGAAACATGGCAGGGCGCCGACCGCGCTAAGGGTCATGCAGCCCAGGGAGCCACCCCTGGAGGCAGAGTCCCAGCAAACAGGAAGGCAAAGAAGAGAGAGAGAGAGATTGATTCCCTGTTTTTCTACTTACAAGAAGGCCACACGCCCCCAGGAGGCATCATCAGTTTGGCCTCCATCCCAACACCATCATAAAAATTCAAGTCGAAACTGGTTACCAAACAGTTTGTTAGAGAGATGACTAAAGGAATCTCAATGAGATTTTCCCTCTCTGGATTATATGTCTACTCATTGGACCACATTTATCATTTGAACCACTGTCAATTATAGTGATGGTGCTGGGTTGGGCCACATTTTATTCTGTTACACATGGGTGGCCCT